TTTTTTGACATAAATAGGGTCATAATATACACTTTATTCTGTGACTTTTTTTTTTAACCGATCTTAAACTTTTCCTGTGTATCACAACATTCAGATTTAGCTCATCTTTAAATAATATTTTAGGATGAGGCAGTTCTATATGGAAAGAGCTCCAAGATTATAATCAGTGAAATGCAGGGTGCAGTGTGTCTATTTCCAGGATACAATAATAGAAGAAAATACATGGAGATGTTTGTCAATGTACAACTATTTCTGGGAGAATATGGAAGGACCAGAATTGTTAACGAGTTTTCTGGGGATGAGAGGACTCAGAGGAGAAACTGGATTGGTGGCGGTGCGGGAGAAAGACTTACAATTTTAAAACAATTTTTAAATTGTGGACTATTTCACAAATACAATAGGATTTGTGAAATATTTCAATACACTCTGAAGAATGCTCTCAGATGCCCACCATGTGGATTAAAACACAGAAAGTCACCCAGGACCTCTTGCTGCTCACATTTTGTTCCTGAGTTAAGTCTTTTCCTGCATTTTGCGTTAATCAGTCCTTGCTTTTATTCATGCTTTGCCATGTAAATATCTATATCTAAATCTACGGAATATTTATTTTGTATAGATTTACCTGATTTTGAATCCCGTAGGCTTAAAAAAATGAAAAAAATGGACTTCATTTTTGAGTAAGTAATACATCTCTGTGGGACAAAATTCAAAAGGTACTATAGCATATAAAATGAAATTTAAGTCTCTAAGGTTTAAAATCAGGTAACATTCATGCATATATGTGGTAAAAATTTTATATTCTACCAAAGAATAGGTTTTCTTCTCTTTTCCCAGTTCTTTTCCCCATTTTTTTTTTTTTTTTGTCTTTTTAAAGGAAATTCTGTGCATAGAAAAGAATATATATAGATATAGGTATATCCCCTTTGGTCAGTTTAACCCAGCGGTCAGCACAATTTAGTGTTATTAGTATTCTGCATCTTGCTCTGTTTTGTTTTAATTTAAGGATATCATGAAATCACTCCGCATCAGCATATATATTAATAGTTACCTTACTCTGTTTAATGATTCACTAGCATTTCATTGGGCAGACAAATGATGCAAGAATGATTTAATTGGTTCCTCAACTTTCAGACTGTTTTCAGACTTTTTCTGTTGCAAACAGGGCTACAATAGATTGCATCTTTGTGCTTGAGTCTATCAGCAGGTTATATATCTGGAGGTTGTTACCCCTGCCTAAGGATTCCTGCTCCATCACCAATTATTTGTCCTTGAGAAGTTTATTTGTGAGATCTGGGCAGGTGGGACAATCTCATAGCCAACTGGCATCCTCTGGTGCCTACACACATGCTCTTGGCAGGCACTCAGAGAGTGTGGTTTAAGGGCTAACACTGCAAGCATTCACATTGTACCAGATGGCCTGTTCCAGGAAACCTTTGCTGATATCCTTGGCCCCCTTCCCCCACAGACCCTTCATTCATTCCACAAATGTTTCCAGAAGGTTGATTATGGGGACCTAGCATCAAATCAGACCTTGAGGTGTGTGTGTGTGTGTGTGTATATGTGTGTATATATATATATATATATATATATATATATAGCCTTTTATGTGAGTTAAGACAAATTCTGGAAAACATGCTAAGGCTGTGCTAATAAAGTACACATACTAGCTGCATACAGCTACTTAACTTTAATTAAAATGAAATGAAATTTAAAATCCAGTTCCTTAATCCCAGTAGTTACATTTCAAGTGCCCAATAGCCACATGGGGCCAGAGAGGCATCTGTACTGGACAGCAGTGCAGATACAGAATGTCCCCATCACAGTGTTGTATGGGATAGCCCTGCAGGGAGTCTTGGCATAGAGGTCAATCCTGTGGTCTGGGCTGTGGATTCTTACAAACTCTGGGTTCAAATTCTGGCGCTGTTATTTCACAGCTGCACAATTTAGCCAAGCAACTTGACCTCTCTTTGAGCCTCAGTGTGAAAGTGGGGAATTACGGCCTTTGCCTCACAGAGCTCTGGTGAGGATTCAGAGAGGTGGCAAATGTGCGGGGCTTTGCGCATAGAAGTAGTTAAGTTCTCAAAATTCAGGAGCTATTATAATTATCTATGAATGTGAGAACAGCTTCAATTTCTTAACCATTTGAAATCCTGGTTTCTGAGAGCTCCAACCAGAGTCAGTCCTTTCCTTGGAAAGCCGCCTGTCCATCGCCCTGTCCAGCCCGGGGTATGCCTACAACTGGAGCTGTTTCTTCTGTCTTTTCTCTATCCCCTCTGTCTTTGGGCCCAGAGCTGCTCAATGAACCTTTGATGAATGAAGAAATGAACGAATGGGGGAAATCCAGGCAGGATTTGACTGGGCCTTTTGTGAGAAGGAGCAGGAGGGTTCAGGAAATCATTATTATTACGTTTCAAATACAACTGGCCAGGCGGTGTTTCCCTGTAAGAAAAAGTGCATGTGTTTGATAAGCACCTTAAGCTCACCTACTATCTGCTCGGCTGGGACAATTAGCCAACACAAGGAGCTCAAGGGGCTTGGCCCTTCCCACTTAGGCCCAAAATAACCTCCTCCCCCACTTTGAGCAAATGCTTGGAATTCTTTCAACTGGAGGACAAAGCCTTTCATCTGCCAATTACTGATAAAGAGAAAATGCAAATATCAAGGGGGAAGGTGATCCATCAAGGGCCCAACATTTATTGAGTGACCACTTAGGACCAGGAGGCAAGGCAGGCTTTTTGGGGCATCAGAGGGGGACAGACCCCAGGCTGGCCCATTATTCTCTCCGGTGTGTGGTTTCCTCAGAGGTTTGTAGAGGGAGGTGATTAAATTACATGACTACTCAACCCCTTCCCATTCCAGCAGGCCAGGAACTCCCCATTGAGGTGATATATGGACTTCACTGTTTTTACACTAAGGTGGCCTCCATTGGATCTTTTCCTGATGCCAGCTTTTGGGAACACTGGGGAAGACAGAAGGGTCTCAGGAAGGAAAAACGAATTAAGAGGATCAAGCATTCTATTTCTTGCTTTATTCCACTCAATTATTCTATTTCTTGCTTTATTCCACTCAATTCACTTTTCACCACGCTCCAGCCAGGCACCCTCCGTGGAACATGTTTATTTCATTATGGGGGAGTAGGGTAGGGGGTCAGTCTCTGAAAGAGCATGTGATGGCCAAGCCAGCCTCCAGTCTGAGCCCCAGCAGTGCCACATGCAGCTGTGTGATCCTGGTTGAGTGGCTTCGCCTTTCTGAGTCCCAGTTTCCTCCTCTGCAAAATAGGGACTAACAGGACTATTTCCCTTAAAGGGTTCTTGTGAGAAAGGGAGCTGCAAATAAAATGGTCCCTGGTTTTTGCCAGAGGCTAAAAGCAGAGCCTTCTCACTCACACTAAGGGCTGCGGATTGATGCGGTAGAACCAACGTGGGCGATTTCAGTTTGGAAACAAATTTTGATGTTTGCCAGTCTCATCCCTACTTAAAAGATTTTTACAGCGATTGAACAGGAATTAAAATAAACTTCAAAGAGTAGCCTTTGGGGGTACTAGAAGGACTACAGAAAGATAAGACAGGAAACCTTAAGGTGAGCAAGGGCGAAGTTGTCTCTTTGGGTGACCAGTACGGAGATGATGGTTCACATCCCATCTCTGGTGGGGCAGCCACTTCCTCCCCACATGTCTGTCTGATCGCTTGTTCACATGAGGACTATATGGGGGCCGAGAAATCCATCCAGATTCATAATTTCTCTGAGTCTCAGTTTCCCTATCTGCAAAATGACCTGCTCCAATTACCCCACAGCAGAAATAAAATGCCATGCGCAAAGCCTGCTGTCTACAATGTGCCTTTATTGTAGTCGTCCTGCCACGTCATCTTATCAGGATCTTTACGGCGAAGATCAGGCCTAGTAGGGCACAGGAGTGAGGCTGGAGGGTGTTTAGGGCTAGCTCTTTTCAACCAGAGTCGACCTGTTGTTCAAGATGGCACTCCAGGACAACTCAGGACCAGCCGGGGGCGGTCACAAGCACTAGTAAGATCACAGAGAAGCATGCCAGTGGGCTAATGACATCACTCAGTCAATGATACCCCCGCTAAGTCAAGGGGTGCCCAAGTTCCCCGCCTCCTGTCCCAGAGCACCACGCACCTTCCCACCGACTTTCCCCCCCATCAACGACCAACAGGGGCTTACCTTTCGCTCGTCTGCGAGCTGCGTTAGGAGGCGCCAGATCTGATCACTCCTTCACTCCTGAGCATCTATTTCCTCCTGTTGGCGAGCGCAAGGACCTTTAAAAAAATGTCCAACTTCTGTTTCAGGGCTCGTCGCCTAATAAAGGACTCCACAGAGGCGGGCAGAATGAATGAATGAAAGGCCACGTCTTCCGGTCAGCTGCGGTCTGAAAAGGCTCTAGTCTGGCTGTATTTCCTGTACCTGTGTGTGTGCGTGTTTGGGTCCATATCTTTGAGTCCGGGAGTTTAAAAGTTATGCAGTCCTTATAGGTATGGAGCTGAGCTAATTTTCTTCTGGGTCCCCCAACTGCCTCCTCCATATGGAAGGTCTGCAAATGGGGGGTCTACAGAGGCTCACCCTTCACCCGCACACCACGAAAAAGACATGCAGTGTAAAAACAAAACAAAACAAAAAAATATATATAAACACAAAACGCTTTGAATTTGGGTCGGCCATGCAGGTAATAGGGTGGGGTGTATGAAAGAGGAAGAGGGGTAGCCCTGAGCAATGGGGGCAGGGACGGAGGTGGGGGGTCGTTTTGGGGGGTGCCAGGCCCCGGGGGCTTTCACGCCAGCATGCTGGGCTTGCATTTCCGCGCCTCCCGCTGAGGCCAGCCGTGCAAATCTGCACCTCCCTCCCCGCCCCCTCCTCCTTCCCTCCCTCCCTGCCCCGCCATCTCCGGGATGCGCCCGCCGCCTGCAACTCAGCCCTCCAAAAGTCAGCTCTGCACACAACTCCCGGGCGGCGGCGGCGCCTGCGTGCAGAGGCGCACTCGTGACCCAACAACAAAACAGCGATGCCAGGGCGCTAACGGCGCCCGGTGCCTCCCGGGCTGCCTCCCCGCCCCACACCTCCTCTGGCCGCCGCCCCCGCCCCCCCTATCCCGGGCCGAGGGCCCCCCCCACTAACCCGGCCGCGAGCTCCGAGCGCGATCGGCAACAATGTTTACGTTCCGGGGATTATGACGTCGACGCCTCCCCCCCCCACCCCACACAACTGCTGAAAATGGTTTCCTAGGACTTTGCAAACGGATCTGCCTAAGTGTTGGTGCAAAACTTTGTAGATCTCGGCTCTGGCTTGCTTTATTTATTTATTTTTCGGTTTGTTTTCTTTGGTCTTCCCTCCTTCCCCCCTCGGCTAAAATGCAGGGGGCAGGAGCGTTGACAATTAATTGGTGAACTCTCCTAAAAAAATGGAGGCAGAGAAAGACTCTGGAAGAAGATTGGTGTGTAGCTTTTTTTTTTTTTTTTTCCAAATCTGTATCTGGTATATGATAGATCTTTTTTTTTTTTTTTGGTTGTTTCTTGCTGCCTTTTCTTTCCTTTTCTGTATTTTGCAAGAGGACCGGAAAAATATAATAAATTGCATGCAAAAGGAAGCAAGCGGCTTACTCCTCCAGTCCCTTCTGAGGCTCAGAGTCTCAGACACTTAAGTGGGGAGGTGGTAGCGCGGAAAGGCGTGGAGGGGGCTGAGCGGGTTCGGGGTTCGCCCGGAATCTGGGGGGCTGCGGGGCCGGGCGCTGGGCGGTGGAGGGAGGAGGCAGGGGGATGCGGGGAGTGGAGGGGGAGTCTCCTTAGGAAGTGAGTGTGCGCGCGCGCTTATGGGGAGATGAGGCAGCTGCTGGTGCGTTTTGGGGTCTCCGATCGGAGCTTTGTGGCGGGCCGCCTGCCTCTCCCCCTCCCAAGCCCCGAACCTCCTCCCCCCACCTCGTCTTCTTGCACTGGCGGGCGATCGGCGGGGGCGGCTGGGGTCTCAGCCCTTCCATTTCAGCTTTCCAGCTTTCCTGGTAGCTCGGGGGCGGCTCCAGTGTTAGAAATGCCGCCGGCCCCCGGTTCCGGCTTCCCGGCTCTGCCGCCGCGGCTGCCGGGGCTGCTGTTACCGCCGAGCCGGGCGCTGCAGCGGCTCCTCCCGGGGCCTACATCTGCCCGGCCAGCCCGTGCCCGGAGCCCCCTCCGCGGGTTACATAACCAGGCTCCCGGCTGAGTGGGCAAAGCTCTATACAGCTCGGGGTGGGGGCAAGGGAGAGCCCCCAGATGTCCCTTCCATGGCTCCCAAAGATGCAGAAGGGGACTGCTCCTTGTAGGGCGCAGCTGGATCCTGGGGGTGCGGGCCCCTTTCCTTATCCTGCTTTTCAGCATCTTTAGCGTTTGCGCAAAGTTGCACGGGTTGCAATGGTGGGGTGCAGGGGGAGCGCAGCTCCTGCACCTGTTCGTGCTGGGCCCAGGGTGAGAGGCCACCCTCAGTCACCCCAGTAATGTCCCGGGCTCTCTGGTTTGGGTCCCCGCAGCGCCCCATTGACCGCCAGGGATACGACGAGAACGAGGACCTGTCGGACGTGGAGGAGATCGTCAGCGTCCGCGGCTTCAGCCTGGAGGAGAAGCTGCGCAGCCAGCTGTACCAGGGGGACTTCGTGCACGCCATGGAGGGCAAAGGTGAGGCGCCCCCTCCCCGGGCCGCCCTCCGTGCCGCAGGCCGAGCGCACGTGGGGAGGGAGCTGCCGGTGGCTGGGTTCGTATTTCGCGCCCGCGTCCCCCATTCCAGGGGATCCGGTGACGAAACGAGGCCGAGCACTGGGGGGTGGGGTGGGGTGGCGAGGGAGGAGGCCAGGCGGGAAGGGGGGCTGGGTGTGGGCCTAGGCCCGGCCTGCGCCCACCAGCAGCCCCAGGGTGGGCAAAGCCAGGGGACCGGCAGCGGACAGAGGGACCTGGGGATGGACAGGCGGACTGAGGGAGGGCGGGAGCGCTGCGTCCTCCCCCTCCCCGAGCCGGTTGCGCTCCCTGCGCTGCCAGAGGTGCCGCCGCCTGGCTGGAGCCGGGCTGTGGGCGCCCCTTGGACATCGGGGTGAGGCTCCCCCAGGCCTGAAGCCTCCCAAACCCCGAGCCATCTCGGGGTCTGCCTGTTAGGAACTGGTGATGGGGGCGCCTCAGGTTATAGGGGTGACATCCCCTCAGGCCTGGGGTCTGCAGAGCCGCGTCCCCTCATGGGCTCTGCCAGATTGGAGCAGGGGCGCGGTGTGCCCTAACTTCTTGGCCTGAGCCCCCACTTAGGCCTGAGCTCTCTTGCGCTGCAGCCTCCACAGTTTGAGGCCAGGAGTTGGGCTAAGGAGGTGACCCTTCCTTAGGCTTAGGGCTGAGATCCCTGTCCCCTGGCAATTTGAAGTGAAGACGCAGGGCGCCTCTCTGGGAAACAGGATCTCTTCCCGGGATTGCGACCTTGAGAGCTGTGTCTCCTGTGGGCCTGCCCTCTTTAGAGCACAGGTTGGGAAGCTTCTGGGTTTTGAGTTTCGCTTGAGCCAGAGACCTTCAGGGCCTGGGTTTCTCTCTGGCCCTCCTACTGGGAGAATGGCTGGGGTACTCTCCAGACGTTGGGGTGATGCTCCAGCTTGGGTCTGAGGCACCCCAGCCTCAGCCAGTGGGGCTCCTGGTTCCGCAACCCTGTGGGGTTGGGGTTTCAGAGATGCCTTTGCCTACAGAGGCCCTCCTGGACTTTGTAAGTTCTTTTTTTCCTTGGAGATTTGAGTTTCTTTTAGGTTGGTCAGTTTCCATTTTGTTTACCCTGCCCAACCCCCTTTGAAAATCCTTCAGTCAGTCCCCCAGTGAGTTGGTGACAGGAGAAGTGCCTCCCTCTTCCAGGTTCTGGTTGAGTGGCTGTGGCTATGGGTTAGCCCCTAGAAGAGACCGTCCTAGTTTTGCATTTTTGAAGTTTCTCTTTTGTGCCCATTGCTTCCTGGGCCCCTGGGCTCTGGTGGTGGGAGGGGTAGTTGTGGGGGGAGGGAAGAAATTTCTTCCAGCCTGCCAGGTCCAAGAGCAGGGTGCTAGTCCCAGCTGATTTGAATATCCTCCGCATAAATGGAATTTTAATTCCTCTCCTTTCCTCCCCATTTTACTGAATCCTTTGGTGGATCCTATGAGGAAACAATATGCAAACTCTTCCTAGTCATTTGTGAGGAATTCTCAGCCCAGGATTGCAGAGCTTTTTCTCAAGCTCATTTGAGGAAGTTGAAGCTGACCCAGGTTTTGGGGGACGGGGAGGGGTCTGGGTGTGTGGGTATGCAGGGGTTATTCCAGCAAGGGAGCACGAAAGTATATCCTTAAATCTGCTGTCCGGCCCCTTTCAAAGGAGAGGGCCCAGGGTTTGCTAGTTAATTCAGATCTGGCCCCAAAACGGGAGGGAGGAGCTGAGAAACAGAAGGCGCCCATAGCCTGGATTCAAAATAGAAGCTTCTTAAACTTCTCTTCCTTTAAATCCTTAGGAATCCCCATTCACTGTGAGCCCCTGGGGATCTGAGCTGCCGAGGTCAGGGCTTTCCCCCAGCTCTGGGTTTTGTTCTCTTTGGAGGGAAGTGATCCTGGCCGCCTCCTCCCCCAAGGCTGCCCTGTGAGCTGTTTGCCTGGGCCAGTGGCTTCAGTGGCCTGAGGCCTCCTCTGTGTCCCTTCCAGCCAGCCAGAGAGGGCTTGTGCCCTTGCAGATTGCTTTAGGTACTTGAGGAATTGGGGGGCGTGAGGGTTTATCTCAGCCACCCTCATCTCCGTATTTGGGGGTACAGTGGGGTCAGATCCCCTGGTTTGGGGTTTGGGGAAGAAAAGAAATTAGTCGAAGGCCTCCTTCACTCTCCAGGGTTTTGGATAAGGATTTTGGGGTCTATACTAGACAAATCCCAGACTGAAAACTGCCCCGTGAATCTTCCATGGGCCTTGTCTACACAGCCTTCACCTGGGGAGCATCCCTCCCAGTTATCCGGATGAAGCAAGTATTGTGATGGCTGTGGCAGAATTTCACTCTTAAGACAACAAAGCTGTGCCCAGTTCCCTAGTTATTTTGGCATCAAATACACAGTTTCCAGGGAAACCGGCTTCCCCCCTCCCCTTCACTATGCAGGATATTACAATAAGATTTTCACTGATGCTCGGCTACAATGAGAGCCCTCCTCCCAGCCTCTTCTCTGGGGCTTCAGATCCTCCCAGGTGGCATTCTTCAGTTTTGCTGTCCCTTTACTTTGCGAGCTCCGCTTGGGATATGTTTGTCTGTCGCTCTTTCGGAGCTATAGCTGGGGCTCTTCCTGTGTGAGGCTCTTTGAGTGTCTCCCTCCCCAACCCTGGCTGGCCTTGGGCTGTTCATTGACAAGTTTGGACCGGTGGGGCATGCAGGGAATGACTGAGTAGGCAGAGGGCTGATGTTGGCATGGCTTCTTGGGCTTTGCCTGATCATTCCCCTATCATTTTCCAGGGAGCTTTGGCCATATGGCTGATGCCTGCACATAATGGATCTCTTGCCCTTTCTCTGTCATTTTTCCTCCCCTAACCAAACGATCATGGTTCGTTTGCTCCTCCATGACTTAACCAACTTGTTTTAATTCAAATATCCAAACAGATTTCAACTATGAATACGTACAGAGAGAAGCTCTCAGAGTTCCGCTGATATTTCGAGAAAAGGATGGACTGGGAATTAAGTAAGTTGCTGAAACAAATCGCCTCTTCCCCTGTCTCTCTCTCTAACACAGTTCATAGCTTAGAGTAGATTTCTTCCACCGTTTTCCCACCGCTCATCACTGAGAAGGATCTTTTTTCGTGATCTGGGTATAGCATCTCCTTGTTCAAGTCCTTTAGGGGAAAAAAGTCTCCAAGGGTGCTTACTTCACAGGGTTGACTTTTTCCCCTAACCCATCCCAGTTATGTGCAGTGACCTCCTACAGAGAATTGTACCTCTCTTCCTTCTCCTGCCCCCAAATCAGGAAACTGAGGCAGGGCCTGAGTTGCCAAGAGAATAGCCAGCCTCTAAGCCCAAACTCGGGGTACCTAGATACACGTATTCTACACAGACTCCTGCTATGTGGAGGGTGTGTTTCCTGGGGTGCTAGTGTGCCCCCTTTCTTTGCCTACCCAGCATCCTGCCTCTCTACTGTGTCTGCTTTACATTCTCACTGAGATTTGCCAGAGCTCCAGGTGGTAGGCTGGAAGAACAGGTTTCCGGCCCTTGGGCAGGGGCAGGGGAGGAGGCTTAGGGTGGCATCCAGCGCTGACTCCCTCTCCAATACCTGCTGCCAGACTTGCTTGGGACTCTCATTTCTGTGATGAGGAATTAAACCTTGGGATCATTGTTAGCTAATAGCGAATGTCACCGCAGTCACCGTTCTGTTATTGCAGCCAGTGTTGTCAAATCCCTGGACCTGGTGTGATGTGTCTTTTTCTTTTCCTCTGAACTTAAAGGGGTCCCCCCACTTTCCATCCTACTCCTTAAGGAGAGTATTGTCTAGAGGGAGAAAGAGACACAGAGAGGGCTCCCTACCCTAAAGGAAAGCAGGTGTTTGAATGCCCAGCTCCAGCCCTTACCCTTGACACTACGCTTCAGGCTTGCCCAGAAAATGGGGTGCACCGTGGGCCCAGGGTGTAGTCTAGCTCTGTTATTTCTGGCTTCTCACCAAAGGTCTGCACCCCTTTTTCCAGGATGCCTGACCCTGACTTCACAGTCCGAGACGTCAAACTCCTGGTGGGTAAGTTGCTGGCTGTGTGTGGCTCAGAGATGCTGAAGTAGGGAGGAGGAGAGAGGAAGGGGAAAGAGGCCTTCACCACCTGCCTGTTTAGACTTTTAACTGCCTCTGGAAAGAGAGTCCCCACGGGAGGAGGCAGGAGCAGGTGTGAGCTGCAACCGTCTTGTTCTGGAGAACAGGTCAGATTGCAAAGTCATAAGAAGCTGTATCAGAGGGCGTTTGCCAGGACGGTTTTATGAGGCCAATTTGGACCCTGGCTCCAGCTTAGGTGTCAGCAGCACAACCTTACACCTCTCCTTCGCGTTTTGTTTGTGGGTTGCTGGGTAAACACTGGGTGCTTTGTGACCCCTGAAAGACTTTCAGACTTTTGAGGGGGAGGGATTATTCATTCCTCCTGCTTCCTCAGGGTTCTAGACAGGCCCAGGGCAGTCTAGTCAGTGCTCGCCACGGAGTGCTCAGCAAACGCACACGAACTCGCTGAGCACCTGCGGAGTGTGGCTGATGACTGAGCGCTCCAGACTCTCGGCCAGGTAGCAGGTGGCATTTCAGATCTTACAGGCAGTCGTTCAGGAAATCCATTCTTTCCAGAGAAAGGCTTCTTGCCTACATGGCGGGCAAGTTCACAGCTGTGAACTGAAAGACAAGATCCCTGCCGTCTTGGCTGGAGCAACGGGCAGGACAGAAGTAAACTGTTTTCAAAACTATCCGTCTTTTCCCAGGACGATAAGGGCCGTGAAGAATAAAGCGGAGTGATGGGTGGAGCGTGGTGGGGCTGTATTGCAGGCAGGGTGGTCAGGGAGGCCTCTTTGGGGTATAGGGGGGGCATTTTGGCAGAAACCTGACTGGTGAGAATCAGCTGTAGGAAAGAACACTCTAGGCTGAGGGACCAGGAAGGGCAAAGGCCAGGAGGGGGGTAAACTTGGCGTGTGGAGGAACTGAGTGAATGAGGGCGAAAGCAGCAGGAGGGATGGAGGAGGCCCGGCCCAGCTTAGGGCCTGGTGGGGAATTGGGTTTGACTCCTACTGGGAGGAGAAACCATAGTGGAGTGGGGGGGTCCCTCTGTGATAGGATTATTTTCTTGGGAGGGGGAGTTTAAAACATTTTTTAAAATTGAGATTGAAATTCACATACTATAAAATTCACCATTTAACCAATTTAAAGTGTAGAATTCAATGATGTTAGTTTATTTACAGTGTTGTACAACCATCACCACTATCTTAATTCCAGAACACGTCTGTCACCCACAATAAACCATGCACCTCTCGATTCTTCCTCTCTCTATTCCCTGGTGACCACTAATCTGCTTTTTGCCTCCGTGGAGCTGCCTATTCTGGACATTTCATATAAGTGAAATCAAGTAATACATGGTCCTTTGTGTCTGGTGTCTTTCACTTGTATAATGTTTTCAAGATTCGTACATGTTATAGCATGTCATCAGTACTTCATTCCTTTGTATTGGCTGAATAATATTCTACTGTATGGATAGACCGCGTTTTGTTTATCCAGAAACATTTGTTTGTTTTTGGACATTTGTTGATGGACATTTTGGTTGTTTGTACTTTTGGGCTGTTGTGAATAATGTTGCTATGAGTGTTCACGTACAAGTTCTTGTGTGAACATACATTTTCATTTCTCATGGGTATATACTTAGGAGTGGCATTGCTGGATCACATGGTCACTGTGTTTAACTGCCTAAGGAACTACTAGCGTGTTCTCAAAAGCAGCTGCACCATTGTACACTCCCATCAGCAGCACCTGAGGGTTCTGGTTTCTCTATATCCTCACCAGCACTTGTTGTCTGTCTTTTTGATGATAGCTGTGCTAGGGGGTGTGAGGTGGTGTGATCTGATTGAAAGTTTATAAAACCCTGCCCTGGTGGCTGTGTGGAGGATGAAGGCAGCTGGCCCCTTGTGTGTCAGGTGATCCAGCCAGAATAATTGATCCAAAAGTGTGTTAACAGGTTCATAGAAGAGGCCGGGCATGGTGGCTCACGCCTGTAATCCTCGCTCTCTGGGAGACTGAAGCAGGAGGATCACTTGAGCTCAGGGGTTCGACACCAGCCTGAGCAACAGTGAGACCCTGTCTCTACCAAAAAGAAAAAGAGAAAAAAAAGGAAAGAAAAAAAAACCCAGGTACATAGAAGAGGGAGACTCAGTTGGCTATAAGGAGATGGTGCTGAGGACAGATGGAAGGGTCTCAGTTGATTGGAGAGAACATGCCTTGCTCAGGAAACAGATTTTTTTAAAGCTGGATTCTTGAAATGCTGAAGGAAGTGAACATCAGAGTAGGAGACAAACGATTCCAGCAAGGGACAGAAGATGGGACAGTGCACACTTTAAATCAAGTTTCGGCACAGGCAACTTGGCCTGGTGTCTCAAACCCGGCCCAGCTTCTGCTGTTGGACAATCTTGGTTTGTGGCCCAACTCCCCGAGAGCTACTTAACCCACCTAAGCGTGGGTCTGTTCATGTGCAAAATGGAGCCAAGAACAGAATCTGCCCAGAGGGGGATTATATAAGAATATGAATGAATGAATCTTAGCATTATCCAGATGAGGCGTGCTCAATCAGTGGCCCTGATCATTTATTATAATAGAAGGATATGGGTCGATGATTCTCTTTATGAGCAACGATTAAAGCCAAACCTCAAATCTGGGGTTCAGGCCGCATCACGATCTGCCGATTTCCTAAATACTGTTGCTCCCCTAGGCCCTTTTGAGATACTCTCAAGCCTTTTGTGGTTTCTGAGGCTCTGGTTGTGGCCAGGTTGTCTCTTCTTTCCTGGGGCCTCAGTCTTCTCAACCTGGAAGCCAGAGGGGCTACAGACTCATCTCTACCGTCCAGTTAGATGGTCCTGACGTCCTTACCAGCTCTGGAATGGTCTACGATGGTGAAGGAAGCCGGAACAGTTGTACCTGCCTCCATTTCTATTGGCATTTCTGTGACGATCAAATGGAACGATGAATATTAAAGTACCGGGTGTGGTGACTCATGCCTGTAATCTTAGCACTTTGGGAGGCCGAGGCAGGAGGATCGATTAAGGGCAAGAGTTGTAGACCAATCTGAGCAAGAGCAAGAGACCAACCGTCTCTACAAAAAATAGAAAAATTAGCCAGGTCTGGTGGCATGCACTTGTAGTCCCAGCTATTTGGGAGCCTAAGGCAGGAGAATTGCTTGAGCCCAGGAGTTTGAGGAGAGTGAGCTATGATGATACCACTGCATTCCAGCCTGGGCAACAGAGCAAGACCCTGTTCCCCCTGCCAAAAAAAAGTGCCTTGTGGAGGTATAGTCAGGGGTGCCCGAGATGGCAGCCAGCGTGGAGAATTATCAAGCCCATTTTGGTCTCTGAGCCGCACACAGGCTTCAGAGAGTGGTGATAGGGCACATTTGTCGTAAGTGACGTAAGTGACAAATGTAACTCAAGCTGGCCTATGCAGAAGGAAATTCATTGGCTTAGGTAACAAGTTCAGGGTGTAGCCTCCAGGCACATGCAGATCTAGATGCTCAAAAATGATCTCAGGAAGTCAGCTCTGTTTCTCCTTTCTGCTTCGTTCTGGGGCAGGTTCCTCCCCGTGTGGTGGTAAAGAGGGAAGCCAGCAGCTCCAGGCGTCCGTCCTGCCAGCTCAGGGTCCCCCATTCCAAACCCTCAGTCCTTCCATCGAATGTCTCTGGATTGGCTCTGAAGCCTTTGCGCAGCCCTAAGCCAGGCTGGGTCAGCCCGGCAGAACCATGTGGACTGAGAGTGGGGAAGGAGCGATTCTCCAGGGTTGCTGGGCGACATAAACATACCCCTGACAGCAGGGGCAGTTCTGCTTTGGAGGGCAGTGTTGGGGGGAGGCTGGGTCAACCCTCCCGGTCAGTGCGGGGTCCCAGCCTCTGTCTTCCAGTCTCTTGCCCTTGCCCCAGGCAGCGCGTCCTGAGGGGTGGCTGTTTGAGAAGGGGGCTGGTGCGTGGTCAGCGGTCCAGGCCACAACTTGGGGCTACAGACTCTTCTCTGATGTCCTAAAGTTGGGCTTTTTTCTATCAGCAGTCTGTTCCTAACTCCCTGCTTTTTTTAAAGAAAGGCATTTTCCATTTCTGTAATATTGTACACTTAAAAAAACCTTTTCATTAAAATATAGTATGCATATAGAAAAGCGCACACATTCTGACTATATAGCTCGGTTAATTTTTCTTTTTTTTTTTTTGAGACAGGGTCTCACTCTGTCACCCTGGCTGTAGTGCAGTGGCGTCATCATAGCTCACTGCAGCCTTAAACTCCTGGGCTCAAGTGATCCTCCTGCCTCAGCCTCCCTAGTAGCTGGGACTATCACACCCGGCTAAGTTTTTCTATTTTTAGCTAATTTTTTCTATTTTTAGTAGAGACGGGGTTTCGCTTTTGCTCAGGCTGGTCTTGAACTCCTGACCTCAAGTGATCCTTCCACCTTGGCCTCCCAGAGTGCTAAGATTACAGGCATGAGCCACCATGCCCAGCCATAGCTGGATTAGTTTTAACAAAGAGAACACGTCAGGGTAACCAGTACCCCTGCAGTCCCCTCGCGTTCCCATCTGGTCACTACCCTCCACTATTGGTTGCCCTGACTTCTAACAGCACGACTGAGTTTTGTCTGTTTTCATCTTATGTCAGTGGAATCGTGTAGAACGTCCTCTTTTGTTTTTGGCTTCTTTCATTCAACTTTGTGTTTATGCGATTCATCCATGTTGTTTGTTGTGTGTGTTTGTAGATTTATTTTCAGTGTTATATAGTTTCCATTCTGTGAATATTTTACAATTTGTCATTCTACAGTTGATGGGCACTTGGGTAGCTGCCAGTTCTAGGCTATCTGTAGAGTGCTGCTTTGAACATTGTAGAACATGACTTTTGGCGAACATATGGATGCATTTCTGTTGGGCATATACTTGAGAGTGGAGTTACGTGGGTCATGGAGTGTGCTTATGTGTTCAGTTTTAGTCCATACTGTCAAATAGTTGTCCCAAGGGCTTGGTCTGGTTCCACCTGCTCCAT